ATCCTGACATTAGCCCCCCTCTTTCCCGCCCCATTCCCATCTCCTGCACAGCCAGCAGGAGGCTCCCGGGAGCAGCTCCAAGGCAGAGGGCAGGAGCAGCACATGGCGGGGGGGGGAGGCGGGGGGAGGGACAGCTGAACTGCCGGCAACTGATAGCCTGCTGGGTGGCTGCTGCACAGGAAACTTAGGGGAGCGGGGAGCTGATGGTCCACCCTGGTTCCAAGACCCCACCGGCTAGCTCCAATGGGCTGCTCTTTCTGCAAGCAGTGGACAAAGCAGGCAGCTGCCAAACAACGTTATAAGGGAGCATTGCACAACTTTAAATGAGCATGTTCTCTAATTGATCAGCAACCTAACAACGAAACAACGTTAACCGGGACGACTTTAAGCGAGGAGTTACTGTAGATGACTTGGCTGTCTTCTTACCATGTCTCACCACTAGAGGGCAATAAATCACAGTTCTTCCAGCTTGACACTTCTGAGTCCTGATTGAAAACAAACAAGGAAGATTTTCATTTTTAATTGATATGGATTTAGGAACTGGTGTGTGTGTGTGAGGGGGTTTAGGGGGTTTAAGATGCTGAGGCCCAGTGCTTCAGGAATACCTGTGGAGGGCTCCATGTTGGACAACTAGAGGCTTATACGTCCAGCCCTGTCTTCATCAAAGGACACGGTCGAGAGCATTTTCATGCCTAAACAAATGACATTTATTGCCCTAATGCTTTTTGCAAACACTGACTTCATTCCTCACTCTGAGCTGTATGGAGCATCTGTCGACATGGCAATGGATTGTTTGCTGCTTGTTTATCTGAGTGTGACCAGTCAACAACGCCATCAGCCTGTCAACCCTGCCCTGGGGATAGCTTGGGGACAGTAAATCCTAATCCCATCCAAAGTACTGCAGGCTCTTAGAAGAGCCATTAGCAGCCCTCTCTCCTCCTCTCGCTACTTTTTAGTCTCTTGTCTCAAATTTCAGTGGAGTTTGCCCAGCCTGAGCCAGCAACCTCCTGAGATATTTAAGGTTGAGTTCCAGCCTCTTTTGCTGTCCGAAATATAGGGATTAAAGATGTCTCTCTTTTTCATTCATGAGCTCAGACCAGCTGAGTGGGGCATGGACCTTGCCTTAGTTTATTGGCTCTGAGGGACACAGAGTATGGATACGGTAAGGGAATGCTGTGCTCTGGGATGGGAGGCCAAGCACTAGTATTGCTTCAGTCTGGCAATGCCTAAAAGTGACCTTAGGTGCACTACAAAGGTTCATGAGACTAGTGAGCGAGGAAAATGGTTTTTTATTCTGTTCATGGTAAGAAAATTCAAGCAGTCGACATCACTTGGATGACAGAGAATGATCCAGAACTTTCCCATGATGTTACACAGAAAATATAGGACTTGAGGATCTGTACAATGGTATCTGGATTTTAGCTTTGGTTCCTCGTTGAGTTCTTCATAGATCTTCTAGCTGAAAGTGGAGGGAAATGCAGGGCTCAAGATGATCCAGTATTCCAGCCTTGGGGCTGGCTGGAAGTTAGAGCATCCTGAAGAATGCAATTAAAGAGTCTGGTTCTCATTTAAACTGACATCCCTTCACACCACTCTGGTAGTGTAAGTGTAGTGTAGCTTGCAAGCACTTTAAACCCCATTGGTATTTCCAGAGAGTTGTAAAGGGGGCCTTCTCTTCCAGGACACTCTCTGTCATGCCTCTCAGCCGGCTAAAGGACACAGAGTGCAATAAAGACCCAAAATGAGGGACATAGAAAAATCACGTATGCAGGAATGTCAAATGCTGTCAGGTTCCTTTCTTTAGAGACAATAACTCTTCCTACAGCCTCAGCGTCAGAGTTTTGCATTTCTGATTTTAACCACTTTCAGCAATGGAAGTGAGAGAGCCTCAGGTGTGGGTACAATGGTGGGGCTAAGATGAGTGATGTCCCTCAAAAGGAGGGACCCACCAGAGCTCTGCCCATGGTAGATTTCAGCCGGAGTTCACAATGGCTACTTTCAGATCGTGCGTCATCTAGTCTGAGGCACTTTCACTTATCAGCTCATGCTTGTCTTTATTTGCATCTTTTATTATTACTGATTAATATTTGTATTGTGGTAGTGCCCAGACGCTGCCATTGGGCCCTGTATTGCTAAGTGCTGCCACAGACACAGGCAGACATCGTTCCAGCTCCAGAGATTACAGTCTCACTATCTTAGTTTGCATTTATTCTTGTAGAAATTAAATAAACCTCATAATTGGTGCAAAGTAAATTCCCCTTTAAAAAAAAATTCCTTTCAGTGTTAATTATCTAAGGTCTTATTTCTAACATAGGTGAGAAAATTGGCCAGGTCAGCAGCTGGTGTGAATCAATGTAGCTCCGCTGAAGTCAATGGAGACATGCCAATTTGCTCTACCTGACAATCTGGCCCATGATTTGTACCTGACATGGCCCCTTTAAATCACAGCAAATGATTCTGTGCTGCCTGGGAAAAATAAATAACAGAAAGAATCTCTTCTTGGGAATGTCCCATGTAGCACCAGTTCTCTTCCCCACTACCCTGTCAAATCTGGGCTGCTTTCCTAGTGGGATGTGAGGTCATGATAGCCAGGGATAATTCAACGGAATAATAATGCTTGGAAATAAAATATCAGAAGGGTAGCCGTGTTAGTCTGTAGCCACAAAAACAATGAGTCCGGTGGCACCTTAAAGACTAACAGATTTATTTGGGAGTGTGAAGACATGGTGTTCCTCCAGCCATTAACACTGTATCATGGACAAAGAGCAAGTGAATAGATGCTTTGTGACTTCGCAGCATTGGAAGGTGGAGATGGCCCATGTTCCAGCTCAGAGGAGACCTTGTTACATCCCTGGAAGAGGCAGACACTGCGAGGAAGAGGACAGGAAATCCCACTTGAATAGGACAAGTGAGATGCCTGATGCCACACAGCGAGTTGGCGGAAGAGTGAGGAACAGAATCCAGATCTATTGTCCTCCCAGGAGTCCTCAAAGTTCTCCCTCCTAATGGGAGGTTGTGGCAGGGTGACAACTCACCGGCACGGCACCTCCTGCTGGTTGTCCAGGAAATTAGTTCTTTTTCAGCTTGTGGAGCACCCTCTGCCGGCTGCTGCCTTGCTTGCCATTGGCCCCTGTGTCCCTCCCGGACCCCAGTGCCCTTGTATACCAGGGTTCTGCCCCCAGCAGTAGTTACCCCTCCGTCTCTGGGTCTCCCCTCCCAGGGGAGCCCCCAACCCCTACCCCCATCTTGCCTCAGTGGCTACTGCCAGTCATCATCTAGCCCCCGCTCCCTGGGGCAGACTGCAGTCTATAAACCACTCATCATTGGCAAGGGGGGTTGGACCAGCTGCCTCTGCCAATTCCTGGGCCGTCCTTCTGCAGCCCTAGTATCCTTGTGGGCCCTTAACTCGGCCTGCAGCCTGGGGCTTAGCTAGGCTGGAGCTCCCCAGCTCCCTCTGCCCTTCCCCAGCACTGCTCCACCTTAGGTACCGTCTCAGCTTCCCAGGCAGCCAGGTCCTTCTCTCTCAGAGAGCTAGAGAGAGAGTCTGTCCTTCTGGCCCACCACCCTCTTATAAGGGCCAGCTGGGCCCTGATTGCACTAGCCACAGCTGTGGCTGCTTTCCCAATCAGCCTAGCTTTTCTCCACCGCAGCCCTCTCTAGGGCTGCTTTAACCCCCTCAGGGCAGGAGCGGGGTGACCACCCCGCTACAGAGGTGCTTGGGAATAATTGTCCTTTGGAACGTGCACTGGGTCTGTTCCCATGCTGCAGTGTCTGTGTGTTTGTTACCCTTACTGTCCGTGGGGGAACTGGGCAAGGGAGGGGAACCAAGGAATGGAGAAGCAAGATGTGCTGCAAACCAAGACTTAGGTGCATTGGCAGAGCTGGTGTCTGTGTGCACAGGCCTGGAAAAGCAGCTGCAGGTCAGGATTGTGGTGGACTTCATCTGTGTCCTGCATCTCAGTCTCAGCCCACCATGGCACCATGATCCGTCCCATCCTCCCTGGAGCAGCTGCAGGTCAGGATTGTGGTGCATAGGCAGAGCTGTGATGAGGAAGCCCCATCCCATAGGACGTGGACAAAAGGCTGGACCATAGGGAAAATCCTACCTTGGCAAGGGGGACAGACTGAGAGGTCTAATAGCTCTTTCTCCAACATTAGTCTCTATGATTTAAAGCATCTATCCACCCTGCACCTGGTGTTAGCCACCACTATCCACCCGTCTTTCTCATGAACACTAAATTCACCCCAAAGGGTTAAAGAAGCAGAGTAAACGAAAGTTTGGATCAAGTCTCTTCTCACAATAGGTAGCCATCGAATTATGCTGCTCCAGTCTGGGACCCTCGCCCTGGGCAGCACATGGCTCTGTCTGATTCTATACACTGGACCCAGTTGGGACTTGGT